CAATTCCCACACTGTGTCACTGGTGTTGTCCCCCGCAGGGACATGGGCCAGTGAGGGGCATCACCAGACATGCTTTCTTAATACACATTTCTGCGTACAAAAGAGCTCGGTAAATGATTAAAAGCTGATGTAGTGGGGCTGCATTTTTATTATCTGTCTGATGGGACTGAGTCACTAACTTTCATTCTTTGCTGTTTTTGAAATTCTATTAATTATTAAGTTCAATGATTACTTCTGTTCCTACCTCTGCAAGACTATAATATAATAAAACTATAAAAAGCTCCTTGGCTTTTTGCTTTCAACTTAATGTTGGAGTTGAAGTTAAGCTTCATATAACTGAGTCCCAAAGTAGTGATGGTTTGAGTCAGAGAGAGATTTGTTTAGTAGTTTGGGTCAGGTAGTCACGGGCTGGTTTGGTGGCTCTGTACCATGTGCCATCCAAGGGCTCCGTCACCTCCTTACTGTGGCTCTGCCAAGACAATGTCTCTTCCCTCCTGGTAGTTCAGGATGTCTCATCACCTTATTTATGTGGCAAGCCACCGAATGGCGTGGAGCTGGTGGTGGGCTGGGTGGGTAGAAGAGATAAACCAGCTTCCTCAGCAAGTTGTGTGCATTATTTTCCCATATATTTCATTGCCTAAAACCTAAGTTACAAGGCCACCTCCAGGCACAAGATAACATGAGAGAAGTAGACTCTGTGGGCTGGCCATGTGCCTTAAAATAAGGGGAGCTGATAGTTGAGCGGGTTGGTAGGCCCACAAGATTGGACTGTGTGATAGCAAATTCATACTTCTAGCACCTATCTTGGTGCCTGGCCCAGGATAATTATAGAAATTTGTGAAAAGAAAGAGGATCTTTATTTTGGAGAATAAATATCTAAGTTCTTTTGAGGAAAGGACTTTTTAATACTCAGGTGATGGTAATAAGGAATTAATTTTTTTCCCCTCATTACTGGGTGCTTCTTACTAGACAATATTCTGAGTTTCATCTGGATGATGTAGCTGGAAGATCTCATAGATCTTTCTCTCCCCAGACAAAGTCAGCATCATGAAGTGGAGCTCGTTGAAGATTTTTTTTTTCCTTGTTGGGTTCTAATCTGCATTTGACTTCAGCTCCGTTTAAAAGTTTTGTATTTCAAGTTGTTGGTATAAGTTTTACCTGTCTTTTGTTTTTATTTTCGTGTAGTTCAAACAAGCAGTATATAAACAGACCATGAAACTCTTTGCTGAACTGGAAATTAAAAGGAAAGAAAGAGAGGCCAAAGAGATGCACGAAAGGTACTTCCCATTGTATTTGTATAAACCTTCCCTAACTGGCCTGGAATAAACTAAGATTCACCTTTGGGGGATTTTCTTTCCTAAGAAAAGTATCATATTGTGCATCATTGAAGAGTCTGTCTAGAATTGTTCTCTGAAACAGCCAACCTTTTGAATCGCCAGAGAAAGAAATGCTCATTTGAACTTTTGGGAAATACTGAATGGATCTGTCCCTGGGGAATTCATAATCAAGAGTGCTGTGTGTTTTCTTCCTGGCTTCCTAGAATAAAGTAGGCAGAGTTCTTCAGACTATTGTTAGTGAGGCCAGAACCACCTGTGTGCTTAGTGGCTGCTACAGTGAGTAGGGCTTTCGACTCCCCTAAAGAGTTAGAGTCTCGGAAACCCCACAGGGGTGGGTCTGCCCTCTCCTCTAGGGTCCCTATGAGTCAGCATCCACTTGATGACAGAGGGGAGTGAGTGAGAGAGAGTGAGTAGGTCTAGACAAACTTCACACTCTATGCTGACGCAGACGGACAAACTGAGTTTCCAAGACTGTAACTCTGTACAGGAGTAGAAAGCCCATCTTCCTCCTGAGGAGCTACCGGTGGTTTTAAACTGCCGACCTTAAAGGATTGCAGTCTCGTGTAAAATGCAGTCTTGTGTAAAAACTCCGCTCCTCGTGATTAGATAGTGTAATCAAATGTGCAGTGAACATACTGATGATACTCCATGCTCATTAGAAATCTTTTTTTTTCTGGTAGTAACACCTTTTTTTTTTTTTGCACAACAGGGTTTTATTATAGCAATATATAAAACAACTTTAGATGTTCACAACAGCACTATGCAGCAAACATGATTGATGGGTGTTCGCCGCTCACTCAAGTCTAGGGGAATATTTTAAGAGAATTTCTGAAATTCACTGACCTTCATAAAGATGTGGGTTTGAAATACGCATATATTTAAGAGCACATCAATTTTCACTCTCCTGACACTATTCACAAGCTCAGCATTTCACACATTCTTAGTGAGTTAACCAAGCCCAAGACCTTTCATTACTGAAAGAACTGACACGAATGTATTTGTTGTTGGCAACATGCTTCAGAGGAGCCATTTTAAATGAATAGTAACTCATAGGTAACCAAGAGCATTTTGACCTAGTAGTTCCTTTTTCCTTTATAGCAAAAAGGACGCTTTCACCTGGCCATCAAGTCCATGGCCAACAACTCCTTATGCACTCTAGACAGCCATTTCCTTTTAGTAGTTGGATGAGGGTTGGATCCTTCGATCTGGAAGTCTTCAGCTTTGAAACCATCAATGGTCTCAACTTTTCGCAGAATATTGAGTTTGGGGAAAGGTCTTGGTTCTCACTGGAGCTGAACTTTCAGCTCATTAGAAATCTTGAGGTTAATTTGATTTATGTGTTTTGTAGTGAGCGATAGCTAGCATTTGCTTGTTACTTTTGTCAGATGCCCTTGTCTGGGTGAGGGTTTTGTCTGGAGTAGTTTTCAATAAGAATTTCTGCCATTGCAGTGGCCATTCTGCTTTCTAACCCAGCTTTGTCATGGACAGAGCCCCAAACCTCAGGCGATTGCTGGCTGCCCTACTGGGATAGCAGTTACTTGTATCAGGCTCTGGGGTCCTGCCCGCCTTGTGAGCCGCATACTTAAGCTTGAAACACTCAAACTCTTCCCAGACAGCTGTCTTTGTAGCATCCTGCAAGGGAATGATTTATTACATCCTGCTTGCTTCTGTGGAGCTTGCCTTAATTTTATTTGGTTGCCCCCGTCTATAAATATCATAAATAATACAGACTGGCTTCCTCCTAGGAAACGACAAAGGGAAGAAGAGATTGAAGCTCAAGAAAAAGCCAAACGAGAAAGGGAGTGGCAGAAAAACTTTGAGGCAAGTTTTCAAGGTCGCCAAGGATTCTTCTTCCAGAATAAAAAAACCAACTCCAAACATCTCAGTATAGGAACTTGGTTCCTGGAGTATGCACACAGATAAGGAACTGGGATGTGTGGGGAACATGGGAAATTTTGGAGAATGAGGTTGAGTCTGGCTCATTAACCTTTGAGCTTCAGGTCCTGGGCAAGGACCTTTCTCACTCTCTCTTTTTTTTTAAAGAGGTTGTGGTAAGCAGAGCTGGCAGCTGGATCCAAGGAAAATAACTCATCTCTTAGGGGTCAATCTTGAATAGGAGGCTCTGTGACCCCAATGTGGAGCCTGCAGAAATCTTGATGGTTTTTGAATTTGATTTCTTTTCAAGACCTTGCTTATGTTCTTCAGGTGATTTCCTGGGTTCTAGGAAGAGTTGATCATTCCTTTTATAGAAGTTAGGACTTGTGATAACCGGTGATCAACTGTTTAGTTGATGGCTTTGTTTCTGTCCCAGGACAGATAAAGCAACCAGGCCCCTTGATAAAGGGGAAGGGGCCGTCATGAAATTCTCAGCATAACTGGCTGGGCATTGCGCTGACTTTGTAGCCTGCATCCAAGTGTCTTGGTGGGGAAGGGTGGCAAGAGTGTAGTAGAAAGAGTGGCTGAACTGCTGGGATAAAAAGATGCCACCTTTCTGAGTCTCCGTGCCATTATTTGTGAAACATTGGTGGCAGGACACACTGTAGTTGGGTCTTTGTGAGGATTAGACAGACATAGCCTCTAGCCCGGAGGTCCCTTTAGATCAGCGGTTCTCAACCTGTGGGTCACAACCCCTTTAGGGATCAAACGACCCTCACAGGGCATTGGAAAACACAAATATTTCACAATATATAATTACATATTTTCTTGTGATTAAGCACTACGCTTTATGTTTAATTATGTTTAGTTTGTAACAATGAAAATACATCCTGCTTATCAGATATTTACATTACGATTCAAAACAGTAGCAAAATTACAGTTATGAAGTAGCAATGAAAGTAATTCTATGGTTGGGGGGTCACCACAACACGAGGAACTGTTATGACAGGGTCACCGCATGAAAACCACTGCCCTAGATGGTGACCTTGTTCTGGTGAATGTCACATATTTTACACTCTCCCACCCCTCCTAGCTTGGGACTCCTGCCTCCCTGGGTTTGTGGCTGTGGGGGGAAGGCCTTGGGGCATTCCAGAAGACAGGGCTGGGCAGCGGGAGGCTGGTAGATGGCAGAGCAGCTTGAAGCCCTTCCTCTCGTAAACTAGCCTCCTTACCTCAAATCCTCTTGTGTCTAGGAAAGTCGAGATGGCCGAGTGGACAGCTGGCGAAATTTCCAAGCAAACACAAAGGGGAAGAAAGAGAAGAAAAACCGAACCTTCCTGAGACCACCAAAAGTAAAAATGGAGCAGCGTGAGTGACCCTGCTGGGCCCCGGCCACAGAAGCTTCCACCAGCTGCCTCCCCTCCTGCTTGGAAGGACTCGTTCTCTCTCCCACCTCCCCCCACATAGAATAGTACTTGCTTTTTAGTCCACTTTGTTTCAGTACACTGTAATATCAATCAGAATAATTCTTTTGTACGTTGACATGAGGGGCTCAGTTAAAAAAACAAAAACGAAAAGACCTTCCCCACTCCCTGCTCCCGGAGCAACCTGGGTAGGAAGGTGCCGCCCTTGGGGCTCCTTCTGTCTCCACGGCCTGGAACTTCATGTTTTGTACTTTATGGAATTGTGACGGCTAGAGACTTCATGTGGAGTTGATGGAAATCATTCAATTAAAGCTGTTGCTTACAATGGTGTTGCAGTCACTTCTGCAGAGACAAGCCTGGACCACCTTAGGAAGCCCCTGTTCTTCAGTTACTTGCTTCTGAAATCCTGAATCAGACAGGGGCAGTGGTGTGGGCAGGCAGGCAGGGCAGCCCCTCAGTGCCCTGCCACCCCTTGGTCGGCATGTGCCCTCCTAATCTCGCTGATCCATCAGCGTGGCATGAGGCTCTGAGCCATTCAAACCTGTTCATGTTCCAAAGAGCTAGCTGTCCTCAACCCAGTACCATTGTGTCCTAGCTCATCTGTGTGCGTTAGTAAACTTCTGGATGTGTAATAAATTTTTATACCCAAACCACCGGTGCACTCTTCCTGGGGCATTATTCAAGGGTGGGTCCCTGGTCTGACTTGGTCCAACCTGCAAATGCTTTGTGGGTGCTCACCTTAGTTTCTTCAGCTGAAAAATTGGGATATAAACGACAGCATCTTTTAAAGGAGCTTAGTGACATTATTTGTAAGGTCTAGTAGCTCTGGCTAATCCAGTGTGATTGCTGTGTAAAGTGATAGTTGTGAGGATGAAGTGAAGTAGTATGTAAAGTGCCTGGCTCAGAGTCTCTAGACTCCACTGTCCCACTTGCCTTGAGGGGGCTGGAGAGGAGCCTTGAAAGGAACAGAAGGTGAGCAATAGGAAGGTGACACCAGAAGGTGGAGGTGAGAGGAACCAGGTAACTAAAAAGCAGGCACCGTGTTTGTGATGTCTGTTGTCACAAGAGATCCTGTGTTAGTCTGGTAGACTAGAGAAACAAATCCATGGACACGTGTGTAAGAAAGAGATTTATATATAAGAGCAATTGAACATTGAGAAAACAGCCCAGCCCAGTCCAGATCAAGTCCATATGTCCATATCCCATATGTCTGATACTAATCTATAAAATGCTCTTCAGACTCATGCAACATAAGCAATGACAATGGATTCAGGAAGATCACAGGCCAGTGGGTGGAAAGTCTTGTGGATCCAGTGGCAGTGGTGGAGGCATCTCAGCGCTGGCAGGGCTCTCTGTGGCTTCTCCGGCTTCAGAGGTCTGGTTGCATCCATGTGGCTTTTCCGGCCCAATGTCTACCAGGGAGTGGCAGAGAAGTGTCTCCTGCCTCCAAGGAGGAACTACCAGAATTCTCAGAAGGCCATGCTCACACACAGGTCTCCTTGGCTATGATCTGATAAGCTAGATTCCACTCCTACACTCTTAATCCTCAAATTGACAAACGATTACATATCTACCACAGATCCCAATTTGGATTTCCTTCTCTATGGGAGGGTACAGAAACCGGGGTGTTTCCACATGCAGGTGAGCACAGCTAAGCTAGAGAGGGATTGGAGGACACTGGTGGGTGGGAGGTTCCTCTGGCTAAAATGACCCAGGCAGAGGGAGGGAAACCTAACACTCTGAATCACTCTGCAGAGGTGTGAGCAGACTGCCCTAAGCAGGGAGGGGCAGCGGCCATAATACTAGTAGTGACACCACTACTACCATGAAGATATGAGTGCATTCACCCACCCCTAATAGTTAATGCGGCGGTCATTCAGCTCAGCTGTCTTGGACTTCAAGGGCTATATGCCAGCAACCAGCTACTGAGTGCTTCTTCATTCAGCAGGTGTACAGGCCTGGGAACAATGGTGAAGGCCATGGGGTGCAGTGGTCCTGAAAGCACCATGTGGGGCCTTTATTCCTGCCCTTAGCAGCTGTATCCTGGAGGAAAAGTGGAACCTAGAGATGGACACCGATCCTCCAGAAAGTGGAACCTAGAGGATGATGCATTTGTTAGGAATGTCTTCAGCTGCAAAGAATAACTGGTGTCAACAAATGGAAACTTGTTCACACAACATGAGGCAGGTCATTTTAGACACGGTCCAATACCAGCCAACACTGCCCCTCCTCTGGAAGCTGTTACTTCACAGTGGCAAGAAGGTGTGGCACCGACGCCCAAGCAGATACAAATCTTCCAGGAAGCAAAACCTTTCTCTGAGGATGGTGATGTCATTGGCTAGAAAATGGGGGACATGGACACCTCTATAGCAGATGCTGGAAACATTGCAAAGGAGAAGGGGCCGGCCACAGGCCAGGCATTATTCATCCCTTGGGCTGGACACCTGATGAGTCCAGTAAAATAAGGTTTCATTGGAAGAAAGGCGACAGCTGTTAGGGCAACTAGCAGTTCCTGGTACAGATGGGTGGGTAGCACTTGAGGGAAGGTTTTTCAAAGGAGTAGCATGTGCAAAGGCCCAGAGGGGAGCGTGTGGAATTTAAGGATGGTATGCCCGCAGCATTGAAGTGCTGTGACATGTGACAGGGCTGGGGGTGGGGTGGGAATTGGGAGGGAATCAAAATCATGGTAAGGAATTTGGATTCCAGTCAGGAAATTCCATTTTCCAACCAAGGTATTCTCATTTCCTTGCTGACACGCTTCAGCTGCGGGCTCACCTAAAAGAACCCAAGCCCCAATTGAATCGCACAGCCCTATTCTGGGCAGTCTTTTCAGTGTCTGGCTGGAGAGGAAGTGCGGTTTGAGTGTTGCATTAAGGCAGCAATTTTCAAAATGGGCTTCGAGGGAGGGAGCAGAGCTGTGGCAACTTTACAGCCCCTTCTGTCCATAAATGGGTTTAGAAGCTTTTGTGGTGGTGGTGGTGGTGGGGGG